AGAACAAGAGTAAACAATATGACTTTTTACTTCTGTTTTTTAGGAACAGAAGTAAAAGCTCATAGTTGTCACTTTCTTTTTTCTAGCAACAGATGTGAATGAGCATTTAAAAAAAAAAATCATTTCTTGAGTAGCTTTCTTGCCACATAACCTGCACTTTCAACATATACAACAATAATAGTTTTGAGCAATTTATCCAGCAAGTTATATATCCAGCCATCATATCAAGATAAGTCATCAATACATTAACTAGTCAAAAACCAGAAAGTGTAAAAATTAACATTGATAACCTAAAGATACTAAGTTATCTATAAACATAAACTTCTATCACTCCCTAGACCACCATTCATGAAGAAGTTGTTGTATCAAAATGTCTCGGATGAAATCAGTATCATCGTTGGTGTATGAGGAGTCATTATCAAAAATCTGTAAATTGAGAAGTGAATAAATTCAAATGTATGAAGAAATATAAATAAACAACAATTCAATTTAAAAATTGAACAACTATGACAACACTAAAATTATTTTCACTTACCTCTTCAAATTTTTTAGTACATCCACTCTCAATATTTTCAAACATAAAATAGATAATATAATATCTACACTTTGTTAATCCTTACTGCTTAGGACACTACAAATAAAAATGAAAATAGTACAATACAAATGCATATATGTAGTGATTGTAATCAATGAAACGACTTGAGTTCAAACTACTTACATTGGGATATATCCAAGTTGTTGGGCCATTTTTGCCTTCACGCTTCACACTAGTTATATAATAAGTCTTTAGAGCCCTATAAATAAATAAAAATCACAAGTATGAAAGCAATTTGCAACAAAAAATCAATTTATTTAACTTTAAACTACTGACGTGTTGAAGACGCCTTTCATCTCAAGGCTTGGATCGCGACCCAAAGAATCAAACCATTAGATGGTGTTCTCAATGGGGCAAGGAACACACAAACTCCAATGACAACTACAACATAGAGAGGGATTTATATAGTGATGGATGTCCTAATAATTCTTAGCAATTCGAACATGCATAAAAAAATATAATTAAGTTACTTGCCCTTCAATAATTGATGCTCGATAATTTTGTATCTCTAATTGTATTGCCCACATATCTCACTCTCTTATCTAGTGAGTTGTATTTCTTCTGTACCATGACAAGGCATAAAAATTCATATAAATGTCTCTTCTTCATGGATGATGTGCATTTGTTATGGAAGTAGCTATTATTAAATTGAAATAAGATAATAATTAGTAAATATGTGAAAGATAAAAATTAGAAGTTTAAGTTAAAAATAAAATGAAAATAAATTTACGTAATTGCTAATTGAACTCATGCTATGTCTTAACTCCTGCAAAGATAGGAACTTCCTAATATTTTTGTTGTCAAATCTAAAGGAATATGATTTTTCTTCACCTACAATCCCTACAAGCATCTTCGCATTGATCTTGTTAATTGTTTTATAATCCTCATATAATTGTGCCAAGCAAGGAAATTTGTGAGTAGCTTTATTGTCCTAATGAAATAGGAAATAAAGATAAGTGTTATAAGTCTATGATAAAGAAATTTTGAATAATATAGCAAGGCATTTCTTACCATGGCAGGTATTGTCTTCTCACTAACAAGTCTTCTAGGCCAAAGAATGAAAGTTCCTATTGCCTAGCCTAATTTCACAACTTTAATACTAGGAAACAGCACATCTGCGCTTGCCTCCTCCTCTCAAATATTAGTTACCGCAACCCTTACTTGATCTTCTTGAATTCGTTGATAATGAATGGTGCTCCCTTGAGTGTAAACAAGAGCATTGGCAACAACACGCATCTTTGGGACCTCTAAAAAGAGACAACAAGGTTGTCCAACCTCTAGTGTAGGACTGTTAGGATCATCCATTCTTATACCCTTTGTGGATTATAGCTGTCTTTAGTGCTTTGAAAGCCGAGGGACTCCTAAATGAAAGGAATGCAAGGATTAAATTAAATAAAAAAAAATGTTGGCAAAACTCGATATTACTTTAAGTGAAATTAATTATAAACTTGAGGTGTGCATTCTTGTTGAAGAGTCATAATTTGCATGCCACAGGCCATAGATTTCATCTGAATTCCAACCATTACATTCTCATCAATTCCACAAATTAAACCAAACCGGCAATTGGATAATGTATGTTTGTGAGTTTGTATTTCATAACTTATATCTAATCTTTAATATAAGACACGGTTAATTAATTCAAGGAGATTAAAAAAGTTACTAAATTACTTAATTACAACTGATGTTACATTATATCTTTAAAATATTTATGTATATCATTAGATTATATATCTATTTATATGTGAGACAAAATTAGTTTGGATAACAACGATAAATATAAATACTTTAAAGCGGTGCGGTGCTAGTTGAAAGTGGTGCAGACTACAACCCGCCTCTTTCTTAAAAATAAAATATTCTTTTTTTAATTTTGGAAAATAAAAAATAAAAAAACATAAAGAAAATGTTCTTTAATGTAACTACCTACTTAGTTTCATTTTTATACAACCATCTAATCGTAATCATGAATATAGTAAAAAATAAAAAATATAACATACTTATTATTTTATTAAGTTTTGAATAAAAATATTAATCATTAGTTATTTTTAATAAAATACAAAAATTAAAGTGAAATAGATAATAATATATTAAATTATATAAAATATATTAAATTATATTTATTATTTATTATATATTTCTATTTGTTATTAAAAATATTATATATATATATTTATTTTTGCATGAAAAAATTATAGGAGGTCCTGGGTTCGACCTTGACGAAACCTTGTATTTCACAGCTAATCAATCTAAAACAATTAAATTTGATTTGGTAAATGATGAATATGCTGTTATAGATTGTCATTGTGAAGGAATTTGAGAGGATAATCCTTAATATTCATTAGTAAGGCATAAATCAATAGTTTCAATCAGTTTATTGTGTGTATTATTATTTCGTGATTATTTATTACTTACCCTTTCAATTTTTTTTTTTTCATTTTTGTTACTTCTGCTTCTTACATTTGTTGATTATTTTGTGAACAAAACATGGATGGTTTTGGTGGTCAACAAGGTGACAGTCAGCATGGTTCTAATGACTAATTTTTCAAATTTAAATTAACCGATTATTTTTATTAAAAATGGATCTAATTAAATCAAAACAAAGTTATGATATAATAGGAAGTTTGATTCAAATTAAATGATTAAATTCTAGGAACACATTAAAATAATGGAAAATATATTTGCCAGTCCTTGTAGTTTGATCAAATTTTGAATCAAGTCCCTATAATTTTATTTCTTGTTATTGAATCCTTATAGTTAATTTTGTTGAATTCATCAGTCATTCCGTTAGTAAAAGTTGCAAATGCCGTAAACGTAAAGTGGTAGAGGGTTATCTAACACACACACTCTCTCTCTCACCCATGTGGCTCTCCCTGTCATATATCTCTCTCATCTCTCCAAGCTAACCATGATGAGTTCGACAGCGTCCCGATTTTCCCAACTCACAAGCTAAACTGAATCCCATATTTTCCCAACTCAAAAGCTTTGTATTTCATGAGCCCAACCATGGCATGCTTTGAAGCTTTATAAGCATGAGGACCCAATCCTCCCATGACTCCGGCGGCGCTTGACGTTTCATACCATGTTTGTTTCAGTTTTTTATTTTTTATTCTCAAAAATTTTTTATAAAATTGTTTTTTAAAATAAATTTAGATATATAAAAAAAAGAAATTTTTTAGATAATTATCATAAGAACATTATATTTGAAAATATCAAGTTCTCAAATGCACAAAAAGCCATTAAGTATAGAAGGAAGGGTCTCTTAATTTTCCCAAACAAAAAAATATATAAAATTAAAAATTAAAAATAAGCAAACAACTAAAAATTGTTTTTATTTTTCTAGTTTTTAAAAATTGTTTTAAAAAACACCAAATTAAAATCAAATTACAAAACAAGCTTTTTAATTTTCTTGTTTTTAAAAATAAAAAAACTGTTTTTAAAATAAGAAACCAAATAAAGCCTAAATTATCATTCATCTTTTTCTTTCTTTTAAAAAACACCTTTCTTTGTTTGCTCCCCCCCCCAAAAAAAAAAATACGCTTTTCTTCATTTCTATTTATTCAGATTTCGGCTTGAATGTTTATTCATAGCTACTGTTTCGCTTTCCTTGTCTTTGGCCATCGTTTTTTTGGGGGGAGGGGGTGGTGTTCTTTCTCCTTGTTCACAGTATAAGTCATTGATACTCAATAATCATTTTTCAAAGGTATTTTTTTTCTCAAACCAAGACTAACTTCTCTACATATTTATTTCGTATACTATAAAAGCGCTTCTGAAACTATAGTTTTGATCTTATTCAAACACCATCTAAATCTATCTTGAATTTTTTTTTTTCAACTTTACTTATATTAAATAAGCTTGGGAAAGAGAGAGATACAAATAATTATATTTAAGTACTAATCCCAGGAATAAGATTAACAAATACTACCTCTAGTCCTTAATATAAGAGTATTTTAGAAAAAATAATACCTATTTATTATAAATAACTAATTTAATTAATTTTTTAATTAATAACCTTCCATGATATTATTTTTTTTGTTGACACCCTCCACATTATTTTGTACTGCAAATCATTCTCCTCAAAGCAGTTTATATTGTGGACTGGAAGGAGTAAATATATACTACCTCCCGCCCTTAATAAAAAAGTTAGTCGACTAATTTGATTAGATTAAGAAAACTAGTTAAGTTAGTTATTTGTAATAAATAAGTATTATCTTTTTTAAAATATCCTTACTAATTAAGTTTATTGACTAGAACTACTATTATTACAAATATTACCTTAAAATGTAAATATAAAACACAAAATGAATTAAAATCTTATATTTATAATTAAAATAAAAATTAAATAAGTTTTTATATTAAGAAGTGCAGGTGGTATATTTAAAAAAAAAAAAAAAAAAAAAAACGGTGCGGCGCCCCCAGCAGTGAAACGGAGATTTCCCAGAACCAAAATAGACAGAAGCCTAATCGACAGCCAAGAGACAACATGGAAGAAGAGTCGCCGGAGATCTTATTGAAATTGGAGAGAAATGGGATTGTGATCCCATTGAGTTTAACGTCCGTTAGAGAACTCAGTCCTAGTAGTTTTGTCTCGATCTGCGCTCAGTGTCTGAACTTGATTGATGATTCGGCTTCAATCCCCATTTCTCTGCCTTCGGAACCAGAATCAGAGCGCGTCAGGATCTGTACGGATATCTCATCGGCAGTTAGGAATCTGGGTTACGCAGGAGATATCACCTTCGACAAGGTACGTGACTGGGAATAGCGCGTAAGTTCTGGTTCCCTATTGTTTTTGCGTGTTGTTGTTTCGGTCTCAGAAAAAAAATTGAGCGGCATGACTTTTGAATTTGTAAATTGAATAGAGGGAAAGTGAAGGAAGTTATAAGGTTTATCTTTGCTTGATGAGAAAATAATCCTTGCTAGATGTTACTGAAACAACAACGCGTAATTGATTGTTTATATGATGTCTTTTATGTCTTTATTTATATCATTTGTTTTATTTTGTAGGAATTTTTATGGGTAATTTAGGTTGATAGTTGAGGGGCAGTCCATCTTCGATTTTATTTATGCTGCTTTGTTTCCCCTTTGAATATTGCTATAACATGTCTGACAAGAATTTTTAGAATCTTAATGTAAGCTCTGAAAATGATCTTTAACGTACAAAATTAGGCTGGGCAATTGCTCTTTTGGCGAAGCCATCCTGCTTAGCTTACTTTTGCATCGTCTGTAGAACTGGGGCATCAGATACCTTTTTCTCATTAATTTAAAACAAATGCAAATGCACTGGAAACTTTTGTTAGGATAGGACAATTATGAGCAATGTCTTCACAGCCATTTCTGATGACAGGGGCTTCCACTTTACTTAATTTATTTTGCTTGCAGTTATGCTTCTGGTCCTTCTTTCTCCTTGATACAGGAACATAATGCCCTTTTTTAGTGGCAGCATGCTTGTGTTACAATAGATGTGATGCTTGTTAATTGTTACTGATTTGGTGTATCGGCTCCTTTTTGTTATTACCGTTTGTTGTTCTTATGTAGTTATGTTCTGGATTTATGCTTAAAAACAGAATGTATATGTTGCTTGCGGCAGTTCCTGGACCCATCTGAAGAGGACCTTTATAACTTGATAAGGTTCATGGCACAGAGGATTTCTGAGTCTTCTGAAACGGGAAGAATTGCTGACACGAAAAATAACAGCAAACTAGGAGATTATAACTTGAGAAGCTCTTTGGGAGGCTCATCCAAAAGGCCAGATGATATCCACTTGGGTGGCCAAACTTCTTACGAATCAAAAGAAACCAATGTAACTACCGCTGCTAATCTGTCCAGCTCCAGCAAGGAAGATTTAAGCAAGGATGAACTGACTTATACATCAAATGAAAAGGATTTGAGCAAAGGACTAGTTAATTCTATAGGTGATTCAGTTGGAAATGAAGAAACGGATGCTCATATTGGCAATGATATGCCAGTGTTAAAACTAAAGGTATCTTTCCCTAAAGAGATTCTGATGTGATATACTTATCTTAAGTAAATGTCATATTTAACAGGAGGATTTCGATAATTTGGCTCTCACTTCTTGATTTAATGAATCTCAAAAGAATATAAAATGTGGATAACAAAAGAATATTCAAATCCAAATAACAGATTTTATCTCGTTGAAGGACACAGGTAATTTTGACCTGTATAGCTGATGATTTCTTTTATTGATGTTTATGTATTTATCAGACAAGAATTGAATCTGAGAAAGTACAAAATCTAGACAAAGCAGTGATAGATGATCTGATTGCAATGCCTTCAGAGCTAGAGCATCTTGAACAAGAATTGGATCTGACAACTGTAGCAGCTGAAATGGTGTTGAATGACCAACATTCTGTTGACTTTTATGTTGACCAGCTCAATGAACAACTACAATCGAAAAGAAATTCCTTTTTGACGTTAGAGTCAGAGTGGTAGGTTTCCATATGAAATCATCTGAACTGAACTTACTGCATTAGCTAGAAAAGTCTACTGTGAGGTTTCTCTTTAATTCTGTGTCAGCGCTGGCATTGCTTACAGTAGTTCCAAGTTCATATCCCCTCCAGACGACTGATAAAAATAACACGTGTGGATAAAACTGATATTTTATAGGTTGCTAGCAAATGGATATTTCCTTTCTTGCCATGGAAAGGAATGAAAAACATGTTTTGACTGGCTTTCAATATATCTCACAGGGATGCTGTTAGAAAACCTTTGGAAGAGAAAAGGAGAGGTCTCCAGGAGTCTCTATTTTCAAACATTCCCGAAGCACAGGAAATGCTCCAACAGTTGACGGAAGTTGAGCAGGAAGAGCAGTCCATTTTGTCTGAAATTAAAAAGCGGTATACTTCTATCAATAGTTCAGTTTACTTTTGAAAAGCTAACTGTAAATAAATTTTCCCGGAAAGCAAGCAATAATGTCTTAGAAAAATATAAATCAAATTGTTACCTGAATTTCTACATGTTAGAAGAGTATGAAACTGTTGTCTGTTAAAATATATAATTCACAATGTATCAAGTTTACTTTGAAAGTTGATAAATCTCAATAGTTGTATGGTTTCCTCTTATCTATCATCATCTTGCTTTCATGAATTCATTGTGAATCTGATTCTTTAATTGGGAAAACGATGGTGTTAACTACGCTGGATTTATCTAATATAATTTACTGGATGAAGAAAACTTTCAACTGCTTCCAGTCTCTTTCTTTTCTCATCTGGATTGCTTTTGGTAGCATGTCTGTATTCACAGAATCACATTCACTAAGAACATATTGCCTTCTTGACAGAGATGAAGAATATTCAAAACTTTCTGCAGATCTTGGGAAGCAGCCAAAAGTGGCGTCTAGGAAATCCTATGTTGAACGAATCAAGGAGATCACAAAAAATAGTCGCAAACAGGATGCTGATATTCAGCGGATCTTGAAAGAAACTAGGGAGGTTCAATTAGAGAGTAATTCTATCCAGGAACGCTTGCATCGAACATATGCTGTTGCAGATGAAATTATCTTTAGGTATGCATTTTTCATTGTTGCCAGCAGAACCACACACATGTGCAGGAACAAATGCAGAATAAAGAAGAATTCAAAGTCGTCAAAATACAGCAGAACAGAGACAAGGAGAAAGAAGCAAGGAATAGTTATAAATGTTATTGATATATCATTTTGAATGGCTTTGTACCTTCCCAACAAGTAATGAGCTTGCTTCATTTTGCAGGGAAGCAAAGAAAGACCCTATGGGACGGCAAGTTTATAGGCTCCTCACTAGCATCCACGAAAGTTTTGAGCAGATGTCTGAGAAAATTCTGGCAACAGATAGAATTCAGAGAGAAGTAGCCGAGTATGAAATGAAACTAGCAGTTATGGCTTCTAGAAATTTAGATGCGGACAAAAAAAGTGCTGATCTTGATGCTAGCCTGAGGCAACCGTTGGGATAAATGATTTTGTTCGTTAAGAAATTCTTCCAGATTTCAATTACAATATTATTTGGATGTCTGCGAGAGGCCTTCCTGTTTTGTTCGTAGGTTTTGTCCATTATGAGTTCCCATATCTTTAAATGTAAGTTCTAAATAGCAAGATTATTTTTGTTGGATATTCATCATATGTCTATGAATTATAAATTGTTTAGTTGATCTTGAACTTTTTTGTTGGTAATAAGTCAAAATATATAATCCAAAAAATAAAAAGATCCATTAAAAAACACTCATCTAAAAAGCCTATACCATAGCCCGTTTGAAATATTGAATTTAGATAAAATGAATAAAGACCACCCCGGCTATAGCCTATACTTCAATGTTAATATCAATATTCAGGTATGAAGTATTGTTAATAAACAAAAAAACATTAAGTTTCCCAAAGGTTATTGTGTTTAGGAAAAATTGTATGGAAAACAATTTTATTCAATATAAAGAAAACAATTATATAAAAAAGCCAGCTAGTTATATTCCGTCAATTTGAGCAAAGTCCAAATAAATTATAAGAGGAGATCGGCCTAGAACATCTGAAACTATAAAAGAATAGACAAAGTAACAATCAACAAAACAAAAAACTAATAACGGAAAGACATAAAATATTAATACATGCGCAACAACATATCCTGCAACCATCAACCTCATCTTAAGCAAGCTTACGTTAGGCAGGCAGGGGTGAGGAAATGTTGTAATCCTTGCTCTGAACAAATAAACAGAAAAAGTAGCCCCTCAAGAAAAGCTCCAGTGGGAGTTCAACGAAACATGAGAGAGAAACATGGACAACAAATGCAGCAACTAAAGCTTCTAAAAATTGCATCTTGATGACGTAACTCAAGACGAAGGAATTCATAGAGACACGAACTTAAAAGAAGATGTAGCATAAAATCCCAAATACACAAACAAACACCAAGTAACCACCAATACTATCTAGCCATGTATGAATGCACCAAGAAGATGAAGACCATCATAAGCATCTAAATCAAGTTGTGAGAAGCAGAGCTCCAATCGTCAAACCAGGCCATTTTGAGCCGAAGAGCCACGGACACTTTTATCCCTAAAGATAGTAAAAACGCCAATAATAAAAGAGAACCATAGTAACAATCACCATCAACTCGAATGAGAATTCTAAAAGCCCAATTAATTTGCCCACGGACAGAAAGAGGAGTAATTACATACAGGCCTTATAAGGAGCCCAGCATCTCTGCGACAACAATATGTAGAGTTTGCAGAAGTTATTTGGGCCGTGCAAGGCTCAATAACTAGAGAACAAAATATTTGACCAGATTGCAACCTTACACAGTAATTATGTTGAGACAAATTTCTTTATATATTTATTTCGTATATTGTAAAATTATTTTTAAAATTTAAGTTTGGTTTCCATTCAAATACCCAATTGCCCCAGCTGCCCATATTGCCGAAAAATTTGTGTGGCTTGCTCAACTTTGACGTGCGGACCTTTTCCCTTGGACGCGTGAGAAGCATCAAAATCTAAATAACAACCAAGAAAGGTTATCAGTTCCCTCACAACTAGCTTTGTATAATAATCTAGAGGGAGTCCCGTGACCTGAATCCATACTTGCCTCATTTACAATTAAATATGCAATTTTTTTATTGGGTCTTTATAATTTTCACAATTATAGGTATTTTGATAGATTTTTCCCTTATAATATGTTAATTTTTACATATCACTCTCAGTATGCATCTGGATTAATTTTGTTACATGAATTTAAATAAAATAAAAATGAACTAAATTACAGATTATATAGAGATTCATTGAGAACGATATAAGTATAATAATTTTTTATGTTGATAATAAAAAAAACTTTATTTTAAAAAAGCTTTTTTGTTTTGTTTTGTATTTGATCAATAGATTATGATTATAAATCAGATAAAATTATAGAGATTGATAAATTAATTTTTCTCTGTTATTTATGGGTTCTGATCAGTGTGCTTGTAATTGGTTTAGTGCCCTTTATACACGCACGCACACATGTAGATATATCTTATGATTTTTTACCCATTTTATTTATTAGGTTAAATACAATGTTTTTTTTTAATTATTTCAATGTTTTTATGTACATTTCACATTAATTGAAGGGCTGTAATGAAAGTCATCCCTTTAGAAACATTATAAATGATATTAGATTGCTTTTACACATGGATTGGCAAATCAAGTTGTGCCACATCAGTAAATATGATCTTGCCTTCGCTGATAGGCTAGCCAAGTTATCACACGGGATAGAAGAAAGTTAGCATCTCTTTGCTTAACCACCACCTCTTAATGAGGAGGTGGAACTTGATGAAGGAAACTAATTAAATCTTGTTGCATTTGGTCTGTTTAGTTTTGTTATACAGTTTTTGTTTTTATTAAAAAAATGTAAATTTCAATAATTCAATTAGGAATTTCCAATCAATACTACCAAGAAAAATAGTTCATTTTAGTGGGCGGTACCGTGGTTGTTTTATTCCAAAATAAGGAAGGTAAAATTTTACCATATTTGATTCTTAATATAAGAGCTAGTTGACTAATTTGGATAAATTAAAAAAATTAGTTGAGTTAGTTATTTATAATAAATATATGTTATCTTAAAATACTCTTGCTAATAATATTTATTAGTTAGAATTACTATTTGATAAAACTTTTAACATGTGCAATTACTACAAAGATTATCTTAAAAAAAATTGATAAATACGATATATAAAGTGGATTGAAATCTTATATTTAAAACGAAATTATATATTAAACTAGGTTTTATATTAAGTACAAAAGGTAGTACAAGTTAGGGCTTTCTTTTTCTTTTACATACGTTGCTATAAGTCTGCGCACCCAAACAAATAGAATGACTGAAGGTTGTAGAGAATGAATTTATATACATACACCAAAATCAGTAATTGAATCAATGATAGCAAATCATAGTTAATTATTTTTAGAATAATAGATGTAATGTTAGATTGTTTGTTTTCCGATATAATGCTAATTGAGAAAACTTAATTTCTTAACATAATTTTACTGTAGACCTGGAGTTACACATTTTGGTGTTAGAATCGATTTGTGGTGATGATAAACATTGGGTAGTAAGTTGGTCTTGCAACTTTACTGTTAACTAGTATTTAGTAAAGCATACTTATAAGGGATTTAGCTTTATTGACTGGCTTTTATGACTTCAATCCCTATTATTTTTCGAACCTTGATGCCCAATTGTTTTGCCATTAAACTGATTTCAACTCTATTAGTTGACTTTGTTTATATCACTCTCATTCTAAATGTAAATCACTTGTAGGAAAAAGTTTTAGCCCCAAATATAAGTCATTTATTCCTATTTAATTTTCATTAGAAAAACAGGAAAAAAAAATGAATAGATTAGATGTACAGAGAAAGAAAAATTTAATAACAGTAAAATTGAAAAAAAAATTTCAATTTAATACATTTATTGACACATAAAAATATGTTATCAGTGACTTATATTAAAGACTAGAGTGACATCAATTGTTGTTTATAATCATTAATTGGGTTTATTAATTTGTGTGGTTGGGCTTTTTCTATGGCCTAAAACAAAGAGCCCATACTTTTAGATAGAGTCAATTCTTGCAAATGGCAGCATTCTTTAGAAATAAAGTGAACAAATCCTGTAACCAAAAAAAAAAAAAAAAGTGAACAAATCCTGGGAGAAGGTTTCAGCAGCTGCAAAAAATTTGGAAATTCTACTGTACCCTAAGAACCAAAGTACAATTAAATTTTGCGGAAGAAAACACATTACTGCCCTCCAGTTATAAACGACTTTATTTCTTTCATGAATCACCATATCTTGTTGTAAATTCTTGTATTCAACTTGTGAATCTTGACTTTGTGACTTATCGTGCATGCCAACTCTACCTGTAAATGACCCTAGTCTGGTTGTAAACAGCCTTATTTCTCTTATGAATCACCTTATTTATGAATCAGCCTTATACTAATTGTAAATTCTTACATTACACTTGTGAATTCTACTTCTATGACTTACTGCTAATACTAACTCTTTGGAGTTGTAAAATTTTAATGTAGATAGAATATTTAAGAAGAATTAAATAGTAGAACAAAACCAATTTAAACCCATTTCTCCATATTTTAAAATCAAAATTAAAGTCTCCGTCCCCTTTCTTTTTCTTGAAATAATAAAATTAAACATGTTGGGATAAAAATTAATTGCTCACACACAAATATATCAACACCAAACTCGAATTCAGAACCTTATCTAAACATGATGGGTGGCGTTGTTACTGGGACAACTAACCATTAACATATTTCTCTCCTCTCACTTGTTTAGAATCAAATATATCATGAAAATTAATAAAAATTAAACATACAGTAAATATTAATTTGATCATATAACCTAAAATCTCAAGACATAGGGCATCCAGGGACTCTCATATCTGGTGCAGTAGGGCACTTGGCCAAGTAACAATGGTCATTGGCTTCAAGTCTTACCCAACTGGGCCCCACAATATCATAAGTTTGAAGAGTGAAAAAGATAAGAACAGCACAAAAAACAGCCCCGCATCAAGTGCGGCTGAAAGAACATAGGTACGTTTGGCCCACCAAGCCTATACCTTCTATAAACATGGAAGTTGAAGAAAAGTCCAACGATTCCCCACATGATAAAGTTGACAGATCTTGCAGGAAGTAAATTCCCAGGTCCTTTGAAGATGATAGGCATGTTTATGAGTGAAATCCATTTCTGGTTTGGGAATTTGCGTGAGAGAAGCCAAACTGGGACTGGGGCTAGCAGACCAATGAGGAAGAACCAGTTCATGCTTGAGTAAATACCTTCCTTAGTGCACATATTCTTTGGGCCAATCACTCCCCAGATAATTGATGCATTGTAGAACACGTCGTCGCCGGGTCCAAGGACTACTCGCCGGCAATAGTTCCGGGTTACAGATGTTTTTCACGTTTGTTAAAAGCCACCATGCTGTGCCAAAGTACACAATTGATGCAGCTATTTGCCAGCCATCTGTAAATAAATAACTCATTCTCTAAGTTATTCATGTCATGCAATTAAGCCAACTCAAAAGTCCCATCTAGTCCATGCAACCATATAGAGAGATGATGATGATGATAGATAGGCTAATCTATTGGACAAATCAGAGACTGATATTTTAATTTCAAATTTAAATCTAAAGAGGATGTAT